TTATTATTCTTTATTTTTATTAAATGATTAATTTTAATATTTCTATTAGTCTTTAAAGTACCTAGTATATCTTCGTATTGAGGCATTAAGCTATAGTCTGTATCATGATATGTACCTATACTTATAAAATAATACTAAAATTGTAATTATAATTTATAACTAATACGGCGGAGCATGTAAATTCCACCGATTGCGAACTTTTTACACCTTTTTTCATGTAAATTACACCGTTATGTTTTTTACCTGAAAAAAAAATGTAAATTCCACCGTTACGTTTTTCCAAATCTAATCTGATTAACTAAGATTACATAATATTTTTATTGTATTTAGATACAATAATTTAATGAAAAATCATATATCAAGAATTATCACTATTAACTATTATTATTAAGTAATAATAAATCGAAAAATAAAATAAAAAATATATAATTAGTAACTAGTAACTATAAATAGTGACATTATGTAGGTAATAGGTACCTACATAATGTATGTACAGATTTATTATTTATACATATTAGGTATATTTAGATACTTATAACTTGTTTTACAGAAATTTAAAATAAAAGATATAATAATCAATAGTTAAACGTTAGTTGAAAAAAAATTTTAATTAAATCCATAAAAAATATATGTAATACAATTATTAATTATCATTTATCAATAATGAACAGCTAGGTAGTTAATAGTAAAAAAATAATTACTTACAAACAAATTTAAAATTTGGATTGATAATGTTTAGATGCAGCTTTGACGAATTGCATAATAGTAATAATATTGCTTTCCTTGAATGACGAAATGATGGTGTTTAAATATTTTTGGCGTGTTTTTGTTTGTGAATTTCTAAGGTTATTACTTAATTAGCTATACTAAAATTAGTTGTAATCTGTGGACTATGGATTTTATCATCAGTGGAGTTTACGTGTTTCCAGTTCAAAAATATGTAGGTACTGGTGGAATTTACATTTACACATTTTTACACAACTTATTTTTTATGACTTTAGAGTTGTTAATAATAAAAAAAAAATAATAATGAAGCGAGTGTATTTATCGGGTGCTGCGAAGAGGAAGGCAAAAAATAATATAAAAACTTAAAGAAGAAAAGGGAAAACGTAATTTACATGATTTATGTTGGTGTTCGTCAAGTAGGAACTTGATTCAAAATGATATAAATGAGCAACAATGTGATATTGATGACCCCGAGGTATTAGAAAATGAAAAATTGCTAATAATTTATTGGTTAAGGTTTGGAAAAATACGTTTACAAACATTTTGTTATTCTCAGTGAGTATTTTGTTTATCATACCTTATTATTATGGTCGAAGGGCCCCAAAATTAATTTGCCCCTGGCCCCGAAAAACCTTGGGACGGCCCTAAGTGCATTAATATTATTTTTTTTATGTTGGCAACATTACTAAATTTTGTAAAATAACATGTCTTCAACCACAGATGTGGTCATATCATCATATCTGTGTCGTCAACTGACATAATAAATTGAACAACTTATTTCCATCGATGAGTTTATTATATTAATATTTTTGAATGATCTATGGTTGTCAGAGATACTTTACAATTTGGTTCAACGGTACATACTACATGACGAAGCGGCGGAAGGAACGTTTTATGTTTTTTTCATTATCATTATGGCTGTTCGAACGCGGATTCAATATCACTCAACGCTCAGATGATCCACCAGGACGGTCGTCGAAGCTTCTAAAGGCGGCGTGCCGTCGTGTCTGCCGCGGCCCCGGGCCCGCGCTGTGCCCCCAGCCATTGTTGTCTTTTACCAGCGGCTGACCTTGACGCAACGTCACGTCCACTCGCCGCCGCCGTGTGCTGTGTCCCGACAGAAACATAATATTATAATATTATAGCTTCGCAGTTCGGACGACGCTTTTTGTTTTGCGTAGAGCGTTCGGCGTTGGTTCATCGGGCCGCCTGTTTGTTTGATGTTTCTGCGCGACTATGCGTCGACGTACCCGTTATCGCGACGACACATTTTATCGTTGGTTGCCTGTTTTTGCGACCTCGTGCATGCCCAAAGTAAATGCGTCAGATGCGTCGAAAAACAAAACCGCTTGTATTTCGCCGCATCGGACGCAAATACGCAATTGGCATGGTCAGAATAGAAATCGCACGCACTCGCCGGATTCAGTAATACGGCCGTGGGTACAGTTATAGTATGTATCAAGATCCCATTTAATCTTGCTTAATTAAATCATTTTATATTAACAATAATAATCATAATTCTTTAAAATTAATTGACTTGGACTGTTTAAAAAATAAATGTTTATACCACCACCAGGTATCAAATCCATTGCTATAGCTCTGCCTCATGAATTATAAAAATAGATAAGAGTACCTGCCTTACTTCTATAATATTATGTTAAGTAACAATAGGTAACTAACTTACTATTCTTATGTTAGCTCTTAAGCATAGGCGTGCGCAGACTTAAATTTCTGGTCGAGCCTAGACAAATTATAGTGCCCTAGTATTAGGACACCGCCCCTAATTTTTTTTTAACACATCAACATACATGTAGATGTATTAACCTATTAATGTCTATAGTACTATAGTTATTGTATTTGTATAAAGGTATAATGTTTTTTTTAGATTAATAAAATGTATGTAGTGGTTAGGTTAGGTAGGTACACACAAATATTTTTGATTTTTTTATACTTTCAAGACAAACAAAATTTTCATGATCTCCAAGAACATATTATTATAATATAAGCATTATAATAAAATATTTAAATATATACGCACATTTTACTATGCGTCTATTCCCCTAAAAAGTTTCAGCTCGAGCCTGGGCTTGACCGGCTCGCCCCGTGCGCACGCCTATGCTCTTAAGTTATACCTACTAAAGTATACCTACTAAATAATAAATAATCTGATTTCTTACTGCTAATAATTAATCATTTCTGTACCTGATTTAAGTTTTAATAATACCTAAATATTAATAAAGAATTAAATTTTGTTAAAAAATGAAATTAATAGCTACCTACTTATTTTATTTTATTTATGGACGATTGTATGAACTTACATAAATTTAGTTTGATAAGTGATTACCAAATTATTATAACTACCTACATAACAAACTAACAAATAAAGTTTATTGGATTAATTACTTACTGCATAGTGTTGCTTGCTAATAATTAGTACTTAGTAGGCAGGTGGCAGATAAGTTTTATAAGTTTATACCTACCTACCTACTTTATTGAACAAAGTATTAACTAGAAGCTTATAAATCATATTAACAAGTTTTTGGTTAGTACTACTATAGCAGTAATTTACAAACCTACAAAATCGGGCATTACTGCGCATGCAGTAATATTTCCAATGGCATTAAATGAAACTAAATATGTGACTGACTGAACTATTATGATCACTCATAAGATTGGTCACAGATATACATTTCTGTTTATTAATAATTTTTGATGATATTTTAAAAATTTGAGTGATTCTAGGAGGAGGGTAAATTAGTATACATATATTATATAGTATTATAGTAAAAACGATGTTATGGTGAAACGTTCTTTTAAGATAAATTAAATGAAATATTACAAAATTTATATTTAAAAAAGGTGACGATGTAAAAAAATTTGGTATTGTTGTTTGTAATAGGTACCTTCATATTTCATTATAATACTTATACCACGTACCAAACACCCGACTATTACCTAATAACTATACGAGTTTAAATACGCAATATTTTATATTTTATTATAATATTATTTCCTCGATTATTTCTATTGAGGTATCTTGTTTGTGTGTCCCTATAGTTAAGGTGCAGGTCTTTTAGGTTAGGGGTATAGGGTACGATCCCCGTTTGGTGGGTTTGATAAAACTTGAATATTTTTTCCCAATTTTTTCGGACTTCACTTTTTTCACTCTCAGCGAAGTCGGTGCGCCATATCTGATACCTATATATTTACTGGCTAGTATAATGTTGTATTTTTGTTGACGATAATATGCAGATGTATAGGCGTCAAGAATAATATAATATATTGTTTTTTTTACTCATTAATTACAAATTGTGTTTGTGTGTGTTTGTTCAGTTACAGTTTATACATTTTTGCTTAACACCATATTGTTAGTTTATGCTAAAATGGATCAGAATAAAAAATAGTTAGTCGTCGATGAATGAACAGTCCAAATTATTAGAAAAATACAAAAAGAATATCCACATTAAAAATGTTTAAATATTTTTCACATTTTTATGAGGTACAAATATTTTAATTTACTATTGTGTACTTTTTTTTATTAGATCTGGTATTTGCGTACAAGAAATGATATTAGAAAACAATGCTTTGGAAGACACATTGAAGGTATCCTCAAAATATGACAACAAAGATGCAACGGACGCTGATATTTCTGAGGTTATTAGTTCTTACAATTGTGTAGGTAGTAGATACATTCGTTATAGGAATCATAAATATCATGTTCAATAATTTAACAGGTGTCTTTTGATTCTCAAAGTCTTAACAATTAAGTTGATACTGTAACTAGTATACAAAGAGAAAAAAATGAAGCTGAAGAAATTGCAGCTGATGAAAAACGTTATTAATTTTTGCAATTCTCTCGTCATAACTTCATGGTAACTAAATATTTTTTCTTGTTCTAATCGCTATTTGTTAAACTTAGCTTTAATATTTTCCATCTGTTATCTTTGAAGTTTTTTTTAGTGTATCCATTTTATTATGAAATAGTGTATTTTATATATTTTTAAGGTTAAAAAAAACTTATAGACCCAGCTTTTGATACGAGATGGCGATTCGGTGCTGATTTGCAAAGTATTATAGGCCACTGGTCACCTCTGCAACGTTCTCCGGTCCAAGCTCGCACGCCGCGGATGACTTACCGCCGGGCACCGTCCGTGCTCTCTTTCGTATCCACTCCCCTCCTTTGCTTCACCTTTATCCTGTCCGTCGTCTTCGGCCCAATACCGCAGTGTCAGTCTGAGCTACCGACGAGCAGCACAGGAAACGGAAGACGAGCTTCACGCGTTTCCACCCCGTGGACAACCGGTTTCGTCGTTGTGGAAGGCGTTTTCCGCATGCAGCTTCCGGACCACCGTTCGGCTCACAACTGTTCTGCTCTTCGATTTTTTTAACAGTCTCAACTCCTCTACCGACATGATGTTGTCTTTGATTTTTAACATGTCATTCTCTACCGGTGCGACCAGACCAGGGCTATTTTCGCAGTTGTTGTCATCGGTGATTTCGGTAATGGTCAGCGGCTCGCCGGTAGAGAGTGACGAAGTTATTCGGGCCAATACAAATACTAGTGGCTCCACTAGTATCACCATGACGCGATCGCCGCCATCCTCATAATACTCGTAATTTCCATTTTCGGCGTTTGCCAGTATCCCCTCAAGGTTTGCTACCAATATGGCATTTAGTTCGTCTGTGATGTTCTTGATAGTTGCAACGGCCATTGTGCAATTATTCTGATAAACTAGATTTTTGCGTTTTGGGACCTAACGCTAGGTTACGAAAAATTATTAAACAATAATATATATAATGAAAATCATAAACTGATTATATTTATGTTATAAGAAAATTACTATTTTAGTCGACAAGTTAAGGTTCGTGACGAAATATATTTTAAATTGATTCAAAATGTGTAATCCAAAATATGGATAAACATCCAAACGAATATCTCCATGACAACAAAATAATATAATATTGTTCAAAATTTAAAATATATTATATTGCAAAATTATTTCCAAAGACATTACATATTACGTACAAATCAATTTTCATTGAATATAATATATTATATATATAGTTATTAGTTATTACTTCTATATTTTATTAGTTATAATAATTATAAATACATAATATACCTAGTTTAGTGACATATTATCAATAATTTTATTATATTATCAATATACGCAAGATATTTATAAACTATAAATAATTATAATCAATCGCGGACCTTCACTACAACTTACCGCTTCCGTTTTTTAGGATTCCGTACGGTAAAACGGGACCCTATTATTGAGGGCTCCTCTGTCCGTCCGTCCGTCCGTATGTCCTGTCACCAGGCTGTATCTCATGAACCATGAAAGTTAGAAAGTTGAAATTTTCACAGATTATGTATTTCTGTTTATGCTATAACAACAAATACTAAAAATCCTAGAATATATTATATAATATAAGCAGTGTTGCCAATATGTTTATAGCTGATGATGGTACGGAACCCTTCGTGCGCGAGTCCGACTCGCACTTGGCCGGTTTTATTAATGGATATGATAAAATTGGTTGTTTTGGGCCAGACTTTAAACTTCCTAAATCTATTACTGAATTACTATTTTCATTTTTAGAGTTATTGAGTTATTTACTGACTGTTTATGGAAATTTCACTATATCACTATATCACATCAAAATATAGGTTTCAATTGCTAAAGAAATGCATTTATGGGTTTCGGTCAAAAGATTAATGCCGCATGCGTCCGGGAATCGATCCGGCGACGGCTGCGTCGCAAACCGACGCCTTAGACCGCTCGGCCACTTCACCCCTCCCCCCTTGATGTTTTAAATACAGCAAAATATCCAGATATTTCAAGTCCAATAGCAAGGCATGATCCAATTAATATACCTACAACCATATTTGATAACATTGAATGTTTTCATTATTAATCCACCAATTTCAGAAATCATTACCTGAACACAATACAATATTTAAGAAAGCAATTCTAAAAATTACAAGATACAATTTAAACCCTAGTAAATAACAGTAGGTAGAAATAAAATATGTTGGCAAGTGGGTACTAATCTGCTGTACCTTAGGTACCGTGTTTGTTACTGTAATATAATATTATAATAATCTTATTATATTTAGTATACCCCAAAAGTCCCGTATCGCCCTTAAGGATTAAGAAGGAATTCAGAAGGAATTAATTTTTTTCGAGCCAAATACGACAATTACGTATTAAAGTTATACAAGAGGCTGGGTCTATAATTTTTTTTTAGCTTTAAAAAATATATAAAATACACTATTTTTTCATATTATTTTAAATGTTTTGAAAATATAATGACAATTTAAAATTAATAAGTACAATTGTAAGTACAATAAACACCTTGTATTCCAATATTGTTTTCCTTGTTATAAATGTTAGTTAAAAGATATAATAAAACTTAAGTCATTCTTAGTTTATAAAAAAAGTCTTTGTTTATAGAAGTACCTACATAAATACATATGTGGTTGGATTTTAGGGTTTTTTTATTATGTCAACCTTTGTTATAATTTTGTTAAAAATAAAAATACTTAATATAATAAACTTTTTTTTCTTATCATTATTGTCTGCTGTTTATGAAATGTGAGTGTATTAAATTTTTTATGTTCAATGGGATACGTAGTTTGTTATTTCAAATTAAATATTTGGAAACTTCTAACTAAAAACACTATTGTTTAAACTTTAAAAACAGATCAAATATTACAGGTATTCTAGAACAAATATATTATACATAACATACATTTATATACATTACAGAGCCATTCAATAAAATTGTATAACCTAGGAAACAAGAACAATATAAAATGTATTATATATTATGTGATATTCACTCCTCAACTGATTAGTCTCCCTATTTTCTTGAAAATTAGGATTTATTTTATGTTTACAGATACATTCTTAGTCCTCAAAATTAAAATCATATACTGACGCGGTCCCGCGCAAAATCTGTTTGAATTCAAACAGCCTTTGCGCGGAAGCCGCGCCGCGGCTTCTCAATCAAACCGCCAATCGACGACGGACGACGCCGGCGCGCGACACGCGCGCCTGGAACCGTCGGCCGACCGTCCAGCGAACCGGATTGTGAAGGCGCGCTCTCTCGTCTTCCCGACACCGTCCGGTACACACCCGAACCACCCACACGTTCCGTGTATTTTCGCTACCCGTTCACCATACATATATTAAATAAGCTCTTTTGTTTTTAATAATAAAGACTTAGTTTACACCACAGTGCGTAGTTTGTTTGTTTCTCTTTGTTAATACTTTGTCTACTATCCCGTCTGTGGTTTCGACCCGACTATCTCCGTCGGTCACCACCATCACCTCACCACACCACGCGGCTCAATACAAGTCCGCGTCAACTGGCTCCCCGAACAGGAATCACCGGTAAGTGAAAACTATCTTACTACTCACTACCACCCACATATACCCCCCGTTGCGCGATTGGAAAAAGTCCCGGACGCGATCCGACAAAAACGTGGTTTTCAGGCGTTAACGGAAAAACCGGCGTTACGTAATATATTACATAACCATAAAGGACGTAACGACCGGCCGCGCCGCCCGACTTACGGACGCACCGACCGCACCGCGCGCGACGCTTCATACACACACACGACGTAGGTAGGCTAGGCATTAGGTAGGAACGCAAGTGCGCGAGAGGGTCTAACCACCACCGCCCAGCACCGCCACTCGCCTACGTCAACACTCGATGACCCGGGACAAAAATACCACGTAATCGGACTGCCGCGGCCGCCGCTTAAAGCGACAGCCGTCGCCTTCCCTAATCGCAGTAGTGCACCGGATAACGCACACACGCGCATCCGCGAAAACACTCTGCGAAGACCGGTTACTGTGATCGCCCGGCAAGCGCAACAATAACAATAACAACCCACTGACCTACATCCTGTACGCAAATAAACACCGATAAGCGGGCAACACAGCTGATCGAAGGAACGCGATACCCGTTCCAACGACAACAGCCACATTTTATATCTCCTCGTCAACAACACCGGAAAACCAACCGGAAGTCATGCCGGGAAAATATATTAATGAATTGACCGCCGCGGAATTGCGCTACGAATGCGGACAGCGCGGTTTATCGGATACGGGAGCGAAGGGTGATCTCGAAATCCGATTAACACAACATTTCGCGGACATGAACCTGCAGGCCAACGAAATCCGGTTCCCGCCTATGGAACCCACTGGGCACACCGGACAGAGCTCGGCCACAGGTCTGGTACCCGAAGCCAGTCAAACCGCGCAAATACAGATCGAGACAACACACGCCCCATCCCAGATCACCACCAACAGCACAACACCCCAACCATCAACCACACCCACACACCAACAAACTATGGGTATGATCCAAACGGGTCGTACCATAATAAAGGAGGTACGGCAAGCGGTGGAGAACTCGGCGCATGGCTGCGGTCTGGAATCGCGACTGACCATGCTCGAGAACTGTATGGCCCGCTTTGGCGAAGACCAACGTCGCATTGCAGAGACAATGCGACGCCTAGAGATGGGTATGGCACGCCAAGCACCGGAACAGCAACCGGATGCAACCCCACCCATCCGCCCACACCACTCAGTGTCAACGAACAACACGGAATACGGAGCGAGGTACCCCGCGGCACGCGAACCACCGTCCGCGGGTAACCACCGCGCCGATCATTCAGTACGTTTCGACGACACAACAAACATACACCATGCCCCCTCCTCCACATACACCTACGCGGCACAACAATCGACGCTGATACCATACGACGACGTATGTGCAGCGAGACATTCGCTGCCGGAGTACCACGGGACAACACCTGAGGACCCGGCAAGATTTATCCATAAAGCGGAGTCGATAATGTACCAAACGCGTATAGATAGGTCGGCCTGGACAAATATTATCGCACAGCAGCTAAAGGGTGCAGCCAGTACCTGGTGGAACACCATCAGACTACTGGACGTCACCTGGGACGAGTTCCGCGCCGAATTTTTAGAAAAATTCGACAACGTGGAAATTCAGTCACGGCTGCGGGCAGAGATAGTATCCATCCGACAAACACCAACGCAATCGCTAACGGAATTCGTAACGCAAAAAAATCAACTTGCCCGCCGCGTCAATACCGGACTATCTGAAACACAGCTAGTAGGCACGATAGCCGGACTAACGCGCAACGAATACCGCACGCACATAAGATTGCAAAGACCAGCGACTTTCGGAGACCTCCGCCGGATCGCTGGAGTCCTGGAGTACACACCTGACGACCCAGCGACACACCCACAGCCGAAACCGGCGCAAAAAAAATTTTCCCAAACCCGCCCGCCCCAACCAACGCACCAAACGCGAACACGGGACGGTACCGCCGGCAAAACGCAACCGCCCAACCCGTGCAGATACTGCGGAGGTCCTCACTGGAACAGTGACTGCCCCGGGAACACACCGCGTTCGGGAAACGGGAAATGAGTCGGCGGACACCTGTCCACGCCGCCGCCTCCACCAAAAACACACACACAACCACACCATCACACACAGCGTTCGGCATTACAGACGGGGATATAACCATCAAACGCGCATCGATAAACTCGGCGTCCTCACATATATCACCCGTCCAAACATCAACAATTTCGTTAAGTAGCAGGGCACCATCACCACACCACGCGGCACCCCAAAGGTCCGCACCAACGACCCCTACTACGAAATT